TTTTGTCACTTTCCAATCTGGATTGAATAGGACTAAAAGTTCTGCGGTCTACCAACCCAAGCGAAGAATGTTTCTATTCCGGAAATTTAACGCTGTCTGTTGAAAATTAGAATGAAAAACACCCACTTACTCGTATTTAGTTCTTTATTCTCCCAATACTGGCAGCTGTTGATTCCGATTGTGTAATATCACATAGGGAAGAATTACGGCACAAGTATTGCGCAATAATGTTTGCGATATTTTGTAGAGATAATTAATTTTGATGTTCTGTCCGAGATTTGTTTATGAACACTTAAAAGAGCTTTACTGTGCTTGCTAAGCAGAATATTTTTCAGTTCCATTGGTTTATTTTTATATGATGCACATATCGAAATGTCAAAAGCATTTATTTAGCGGGAAAATCTAAAGAATGGCTACAGTCTATCCCCCTCCCTCCGCTCCTCTTTTTCAAGTTCCGCTCGACTGTCCAAATATTCGCCAATTTCCAAGTATGCGGGTAGTTAAGCTTTTACTGTTAAAGAATGACTGCATGAAGCAAATTTCTGTCTTCTGATTTCAGAAATGTTCCTCTTTTTTACTTAAATTACTTTGCTTGCAATATCTGGTTCCTCTTTTTTACTTAAATTACTTTGCTTGCAATATCTGTTAAGGGAAAACTTGTATACAATGAAAATTTAGAAAATGTTCAGAATTTAGATTTAAATTATTTAAATATTAATATGAGTGGAAAAATAAATTGTATTTATTATTAGGTTCCAAGCAAATACGATAAATATGCCTTATATTATTTATTTTCTCTATTTTGAACTGAAATTTCATCATTAAATCTTGTAATATAGTTTAGTTTTGCATAGTTTTTTTTTTTTTTTTTTTTTTTTCTCTCATTGTAAACTAGTTCTGTAAATTGAACTGTTATTTAAAATTTAAAGGAAAAAAAAAAAGTAATTATTTTCCATGGTTGAGGTAATGCTTATTCTCTCTTAATAAATACTGCATTTCTCATATTTTAAATTATGAGTCTAATTTTTAAGGTTATGCAGTTGTGTATAATGTCATTAGACAGGTGCTTATTTTTGTTCTTAAAATGTGCTTATAGGTGCTTATTTTTTTAACTAAAATGTGGCTATGAACCCTGTGTACAGTACACTATATAACATGTACATAAAAGTATGATCTTTTCATTTTAATTAATGAAAACCTCTTTTTCTTTAAAACATAGTTTTTCTCCCATTTTCAGCATACGGTAATTAATTTAAATGTACATAGACCCTTTCCTAGAAAAAAATCCAATTATCCTAATTTTTGATTTTCTGAATGGGATCCGGTCTCAGTTGATTCGGATAATTGGAGTTCTCCTATATTAAAAGTAGATTCGCTTTTAGGATCTGAAATCAAGCTGTTTGCAAAAAGCATCTCTTGAATAATTTTTTCTTCCTTCACAAACCGGATGCATGTTAACAGTAAGGACGCTCACCGCATGTGCTGCAATTAATGGGACATGGAAATAGCTGTTGTGTGCACTGTGCTGTTAGGGATCGCGGAAAAGCAGTTGCATAAGTTTGTTTTATTGACGGTATAAATGGTGTAAACTGGATAACTAATTAATTTAATAAATTTTTTGGGAGTTTTAAAATTAAGTTCGAATGCCAAATCATGCTCATCGCCCCCCCCCATATCGTCTAGAACAAACCCACTGCCCCCTACCGCCCAAAACAAGTTCTCCGCCTCTCAGCATCCTCTTACTGCCCCCGTTGATAACCAATGGTCTAATGCTTTGCAGAAACATTTGTGGTAAAAATATATTTCAGGGCACCCCTTGGCGATTTTTTGGCGCCATTCCTGTTTACGTCTAATATCCTCCCCAATAAAATGGCAACAAAAATGCAATAAAACAGTTAAAACAAAAATAAATAATCTCAATAAACTGTATTTTAATTGAAACAAAAATAATAACATAAAAATGGAAATACATGTTATCTTATCTATGCACTTCAAAAAGGAATTATTGACTTAACCTTATTTAAAAATTTCTTATTTAAATATTAATAATTTGTTTAAGTTTTATAATTTATCAGTGTTTATTACAAAAAAAAGTGGTATTTGTATATTAACTGGTCGCCTGGTGTTTAATTTCTGTTAGCATTAATTTACTAATAATAACTTCCATACATTTCCATTGATGATAATTTGCCAATAAATAGCTGACTAGTTATTACAACTATATGTAAGCATAGCAATCTTCTGTTAACTGTGTACCTAAAATTGTTCTGTTTGCATTTTGTATACCGCTTTTTCAGTTTCATAGTTACACTTTGGTACTTGCATGTTAGAGCAACGACACTCATGCAGTTTGGTGATTTTTTTACAGATGAAAAGAAAGATGACATAAATCATGATTCAATTCAGTTGCAAAAATTTACTCATTACATATATATTTTACATTCTAATAAGGTATTTAACCCCAAAATCACTTACAAGCTTATTTTTCTTTCTTTTGATCTGGCGGAACTTTCCTGGCTATCACATTTACAAGTTTTATGCAATTGTTCTCTGTAGTGATTTTGCAGCAAAATACTGTATTCCTGCAGAAATTTTACAGCAGTTTCTTCAGTTGGTAGCAAATTCCACAGGCATAGATTTTAAGGTTGAGTTTCAGGCAAAAAAATATCACAATTTGTTAATAAAAAATTGTTGGAACTTGGAATACAAGAAAAAGAAGGCATATGAAAATGGCAGTGTGGCTAAATTGAATAGTTGCCTGAAGAATTGTTATGCATGTGGTTGTCAGAATTTGGTCCAATCTGAATATTTGACGACTTCTACTGAGGTGGTTGCGATAATACATAAGGACCTATACATCTTTGCCAAGTAATGAAAACAGAATCTAACCTATTTTTTCTAGATCAAAGTCTTCCATAAGCATAACAGTATAATAATTCTCGTGTAATGATATTACACATCATGCATGAAAGCTTTCAAAGTATATATATATTTAATTAGACTGAGGAGTACTTCATGAGCACTCTTTACAAAGTTAAAAATTCGTGCAAAAATACAGTGCAGAAGCAAATTTTTTTTTAATTGTTTACTCTTCAGAAATTGTGGTATTAATTTTTTAATTTTATTGATTTTTATATCTTTCAGATCTTAAAAGCAGAATGTTAGTTTATTTGAATATGCAAAGTACACAAAGGAGGTCCAAGGAAAGTATTCTCATGAAAGACTTTTTAAAACAAATTAGCTCATGTTTTGCACATGGGAAAAATAAAAATGCTAACTATGCAGCCAGCTTGTTGTTGTCTGAGGTTAGGATGAATAGACCACCAAAGCTGTTAAGACCACCAAAGCTGTCATGAGATTTGAGCTGTATATGGAGAAGGAATGATGCTGTTGGTTTTCATATTTTGATCTCGAGGGCAGAATACCAATTGACCACTTCGGTTTGATGAAGAGCGATTGAATTATTTTGCAAAAATCCATGTCAGATGACTGAAGAATTGGCAAAACAGATGGATTGTGACAAAATACTATAGTGAAACTCTTTCATTCAGTGGGAAAAGTCCAGAAACTTGGCACTTTAAGTGAAGACAATAAAAATCAGTGATTTAATAGTCCATGATCGTTACCAGTTTGCTCACTCAACATCATTCAATACATGAACACAAACAATGTTTTTTTTTTTACTGCATTGTCACTGGTGATGAAAAATGATGCATTTATGTCAAATGAAGCATCAATAAGATTGGCTTAGCCCAGGGAAGGGCAAGTGTTTGTGCTCAGGGGCCAATTTGTGGAAGCGGGGGCTAGCAGAGGGCTGCACTTTTTTAAATGATTGCATTCATTAGTCAACTTCATATTTCAGAAAAGGTGTAAGCTGTATCATAGAAATCAATAAACATAAATTAAATAAAATAGTGGCAGTTTTATTCAATTCATTTAATATTTCATGGTGTCATTTCAGTTCAGTCTGTACTCCTTAAACGCTGCTATCATTTCATGTAATTTTTTCAATCAGTAAACACACTGCTTTATTCCTAGTATTATGGAAGAAATATTTGTTTGTACATTCTTCATTAAACACACAACATTCATCACTGATTTTACTTGTTTCCAGATGGTTCATGGTTTCATTAAAGTTGGGAATTTATATGTTTATTGTTGCAAAGACAAAATTGAAATTAGTCAAATTAACTTGAAAAGCATTGCACATCATGTCTATACTGTGTGTATGTATTGATGTGGCTGTTCTAGTGGAAAATACGATATATGTATCTTCAGTTGCGCACAGGAAGGTAATCTCAGTTCGAGGCGGTTTTTTCTCTCTTGGCAGGCTACTAAACTGTTAGCAGGCCGCTATTTGCCAAACCTCTGGCTTAGGCAAGCAAAGAAACAACTCTGTGAGCAAAACAAAATAAGACTGTGAACTGTTTGAATGCAACCAAGAAATCAGTGTGCATTAATTCACTGTATTAACTCAACTAAGCATTTCAGCAAACAAACGACAACGGGGGGAGGGTGAAAAACTCAGTACGTGAAATGGCTTTCTGCAACATGACAATAGCCATCCTCACATTGCCAAATTTGCCAGTATGAAAATTTGAAAAGTGCTGCCTTCTTGTTTCATCCTGCACATTCTATCTATTTGATGCAATCAGATTTTTGAGTCTTTCAGTTGGCTTCAAGTGCTTACAGGATGTATCATTCAATAGTGACATGGAATTGAAAGTTTTGGTGATTGAATTCTATGAGTCAAAACTAGGTAATTTCTGTCACCAAGGCATCAAAAAGCTTATTGCGCGATGAGAGGAAGTTTTCAACAGTGACAGAGATAAATTATTGATTGATTGGAAGTAATTTTTATGTTTACAATCAAGTTGAACAAAAATGTGCAGGAATTATTCCTTAATCCAATACACAAGGAATGTATCTTTTTCATATCTAAATTTTTTTATTTATTTATTTATTTATTTATTTATTTTTTAATTTTATTTTATTTTTAGGATAAAACCAGAAATGAAGTGCCAGCTGAAGAACCTCAGCTGTCTGGAGAATCATCGAATAAACCCAAGTTATTCAATTATACGAAAGCTCGTTATGAAGTAATGAGATTTGCCTTGAGTGGATTTGAGAAAGAAAAGCAAATAAAATCTAAAGTGGCCATGGCTATTAGACTTGGTGCTAAAGTATGTAGTTTGAGTACTTAATTTAGTTAATCAGTGGCAGTTTTTCTGTCTCTTCTGCTTTTATTATGTGTGTATGTTGTATTTCTTTTGTTAAATATTTCTTAATGTAAGAAAATAAAATTTCTTACAAACTTTAATTTAATAACCAAGCATTATTTTCTTTTTAAAAATAAACTAAAATGGATATGATTTTTTAGAAATGATTAATATTAATTTTGTAAAAAGACAAGCTGAAACACTGTTGTACTATAAAGTTCTTATGTATTATTCCATCAACCATGAAAGTTGGTTAAGATACTGCCAGAGTTGCACCAATCATTCTTTTGGAATTCTGAAGGAACTAAAACCTCATTATTTATAAACAGTCTGTATTTGACATATTTCATAAAAAGGCTTTTGTTGTTTTCTAATTTTACTGGAAGTTCTGTTTAGAATGCTATGAGTACAAACTTCCATGCAGATAATTGTTCCAGTCAGTTACTGTTTTGTTGGCCATGCAGAGGCTGATCACACATTTTTTTTTTTTTTTTTTTTTTTTTTTTAGGTAATTTTCGTTGTACAGTACAAAGTCCATAATCCAGAATGATCTACAATCCGGACCTCAAAGCCACAAACTTTTTCGTATGCTTTAAGCATGCCTGTAATGCATTTGCGCATGCGCGTTTAATGTATAGCGGACCGTATAAGCTAGGCTAACATCGCAAACTAAAGGTGAAATTTTCCAGTTATTGGATTTTGTAAAGAAATGTGGAGAAGCGCTAATACAGTCAAAAGTCGTTAATTCGGACACCCATAATCCGGAATGATCTATAATCCGGACCTTAAAGCTACAAACTTTCTGCGCATGTGTCGCGTTCACGCATGCGCACAGGCGTTTACGAGAGCGCATAAGACCCTTACAGCTGCGAATATGTTTGTGCGCATGCGCGTTTAATGTGTAATGGAGTTATACGCTAAGCTAAAGTTATGTAATTCAGTTAATGTTGCAAATTGCGTTGTTCCTTAATCTTCGAATTGGATCCGGCTTATTATTTTTTTCTGACTGTTAGAGCAATTTTATAAAAGTTACCTTGAACTTTTGATTATGTCAAATAGAATTTCCGATATATATTACTACAAGCGAAAGTATGTTTGAAATCCGAAATCTGTTTATCTTCAGCTGCTCTGGGCAGAGGGGGGGGCATAAACGTCATTATTAGTTATGATAGATTAGAAGTTATGTCAAAATAGAATTTCCGATATATATTACTAATATAATTTGTATCTACAAGCGAAAAGTGTTTTGAAATCCGAATCTGTTTATCAATTCACGCTGTGGATTGGAAGTTGATCTGTTAGCACTATCCTTATCTTCGGAGCAGATGTTTTATTTTATTTGGTTTATAATTCCGTATAAGTGTAGATTTCATCTCGATATACTCGGCTTTGATATGATTTAATCAAGTTCCTCGTCATTATAATTCGCTTTCGATAGTGAAGAAAGTGACCCAGAGGTTATTGAAAACGAAAACATTCGAATGACAATTAGTCGGTATTCTCACACAGCAATTATAGACTGAACAGCGGAACTTTGTAATAAACAAGAAGTTATGTTGTTTAATAGAATTAAAGAGAAAGTATTATCACATGTGAACGAAGCAACTTATGAGGAAATGTAATAAAGTAAACAAATAAATATTAATTTTCTTTTTGTAAATTTGATACCCTTTAGATAATAATGTTCTTTATTTCTAAATTACGGTTCATATTTTAATTTTGTAATTTCTGCATGCCATCTTACCAGATTTAAACTGATGATCTATAATCCGGAATCGCCGAAGTCCCGACGAGTCCGCATTAACGACTTTTGACTGTAAATGAAGATGATATAACAGAAGTTTTTCATTTCGACGACAATGCCCCAATCATCAATCAATTAACAGATGGCGAAATCTGTAGTATGGTTCTAGATCTAGAAAATACCGCTTCGGATAGTAAAGAAAGTGACAGAAAGGTTATTGAAAACAAAAAAATGTTGATTGACAAGTTAGTTTGTATTCTCGAACCAGCAATTACAGGACTTGAACATTGGAACTTTGTAGCGGAACAAGAAATTATGTCTGTTTATAGAATTAAAGAGAAAGTATTAGCACAAAAGACTTAAACAACTTACATTCAAAGAAATGTTTAATAACGTAAACAAATAAATATTGAGCTTTTTTTTTTTTTTTTTTTTTTTTTTTTTTGTTAATTTTGATATCCTTTAGATCATAATTGCTCTTTTTCATAAATTACAGTTTCATATTTTAAATTGTATAATATCTGCATGCCATCTTACCAGATTTAAATTGATGACCTATAATCCGGAAAACCCTAATCCGGAATCGCCGAAGTCCCAATGAGTCCAGATTATGGACTTTGTACTGTATTTACAGAAACATTTTACCTAAAATTTTTGTTTTTAAATGTTCTATTTGATAACCCTAATTCATCACTCTCTTTCTACACTGTAATTTCAAAAACAATAAGGCCTTTTTTAGTATCGGAGATGTATTTTATACCATTCCTCTTGAACTCCTTTTCAGAATCCAAATAGGGTTATAGGTCAACATTCGGGTAAAGTTTTTCACCATTCTTTTTATTTTATTTTGCTGTTATATGAAAAACCAGCAACATTCATAAATCCCTTTTTGGAAAGATGTCTGTCCTAGTTTCTCCTAGTGTCGTTAGATGGCACCACATTATGGTGACTTTTCATGATATCCTGCTTTGCTCCACCTGCATAGTTCGTAGCCCGTCGTGCTCCAACCTATTTTGACTTCTCTTCAGAGATCCTCCCATGTCTGGAAATTATTATGTCATGTGCCTTCGGGCTTTATTTCAAGAACCGGTAGCATTGCGTAGTGCAATAGCTCGGTATATTTAAGTGTCTTAAGTCATAAATCCCTTTGAAAAAGTCTTTAGATTCCTTGAACTATGTTTTAAGGTATTTTTCTCCTATTTGATGATAATAAGTGGATCTTTTTTTATTGCAATCATTTAAATGCACCCAATATTCATTTATAATGAAAATATTTTTTTTCATTTTTATTCAGATAAATGTTTTTCACAAAGAATTCTGCAGCACGTTCTGCATTCGGCTGTATGTCATGGAGAAAGACGATGCACATTATGTCTTTTTGCCTTTCCAAGATTCAAATCAGCATTAATCACCTTGTTTACAATTGACACTGAGCATTTTTATGATTTTGCAACTGTCATTTTACTTAGCAGATTTTCTTTTAACATTAAAGATCTTACCTTCGCAACAATCAAATCATTCAATTTTTTTTCTTGGATATGTATTTGGAGCAGTTACTTGGAATTACCACATGAAGCCAAACTTTAACATTTCTTTCCCTTTCTTGTTTACAATATTACTTATCATAACTTTAGATATTGAAAATCCATGGTTATTGAAAGATATTTATTGATATTTCAAAGAGCTTTTTAATAGCTAAATGGGGACAATTTTCTTCAGAAACAGCACAAATGTAGCCTTCCATCCATTGCTTCTTTAAAAGTGTCATTTTGCATGAAAACAAAACTGTCAAGTTGTAAGGATCTTAAGTTTTACTAATGTTTATTTTATTTTAAATCTTTACTATCACTTCTTATTTTCTACTTCCGGCCAGAATTAAAAGCTTTAACTTATTTATGCAAATTTGTCTTGCGAACGCCAAGTACTTAAGTTGTGGCTTTTTGCCAAGCAAGAGAGAGGAAGGAGAGATTAGAAGCAGGCCGCTTGTCATAGCAGTTTTACTCGGTTGCTGGTTGCCTTCAAGGCCAGAGGTTTAATCCTCTTGATAATTTTAAACGTATCGTAGTGTTAACAGTTTTCTGTTAATATACAGCCAATCTTCAAGTAGACACTTGTTTTTATTAATCAGTTAGTTTAGTTAGAATTTAGTTAATATTTTTATATTCTTACATTCAGACCACAAGTGGTTGGTCTCTGTATTCTGAAGTCCAGAAATCATTGTAAAGAGAGAAAAATAAAGGGTTTCGTATACTCTTCCTGTGTATCTTTGTCTACTTCCCACATTTATTGAACATAGCTTTAGTAAGCTCCCTGTTCCGAGTCAGGTCATTTAATGTTCCCAAAGCAAGTAAGGAGAAACACTGAACCTGATAAAGTAGCAGATGATAATTTATGCTTTCAGAAATATGCAGTAAAAAAATTAATTTTCCAACAGACAATTTTTTATAGCACAGCAAAATCGTCTAAAAAATGTGTGAATGGCCTCTGTGTTTCTGTATTCAGCTATCCATATTGTATTTATTAATGCACACTTTTTTTAAGGTAGCATCACATGACTTTAAAAATAATAATCCACAGTTGACTGTTCTGTAAAAGTCAAGCCCCAAATTTTAATCTTTTATTTTTTTCCCACCAAAATGCAAGGAAACAAATACACCAATAACAGTTAATTTATATCCTGACTCGTAAAAGGAAATTGTAGCTCATTGCGAATCAGTTAGGTTACATCAAATGAAAGCACAGTTGTTATGTACACTTATCCATAACTGGCACTAAATCACACTTTTTGGGAGGCACTCTTTGACAGCAGTTTCATAATCGATGAGGTAATACATAAGTTTTTGTTATGATTTTTACACATTAAATTTCAATTAAAATGTAAATATTTAAGAATTTCAAAAAGATGTTTAAATAAATAATAGTATATGAATTACATGGATGTTTCTAAGGCTGTGAATAAATATTTAAAGTCCCAATCACATTATGTTTCGGCTACGAAGGACTTGATGTTGAAAGGGACAATTCTCAGAACCCTCACATTTCCAGGAAACCCACATAACTAGGTTACCATTTTCATGTACTTCAAAGACTTGAATGGCAAACAGTCGCTCAGATTGGGTTCATGTGATCCTTCAGAAGCAGAACTTTCATCTGTTTGGTTGATTTCTACGCAGAACAGAGCTGCAGCCGAAACATTTTCGGCGAAGTTTCAAAAAATCCCGCATAGGCGTTACATCATTTCCGTAGCTAAGCGGGACTTCCCTTCCAGTGGGGCTCTTCTTTTTAGGAATCTTCCTGTTTAAACCAGTGCTACCAGAATCTCGTTTCACAGAAAAGTCCCGTCTAGCAGGGACCATCGCTAGATGTGATAACCTCTTAATGAAAGTATTTTCTGGTTAAGAATTACAAAAGAAATACAATGTTAAAATTGATTACAAATTTTAGCTCATTTTACTGAAATGAAGAATTGCTTTGTATTAAAAACAGACAGTAATTTTAGATGACATAAAGTTAAACTTTATTCTGATTTCATAACTCTAATTACTGTAAGAGCAAGTTCAATTTTTCTGAATAATATAAATTTTTATTTACAAATGATACTTTTAAAGTAGCAGTACTAAATTACATACCCACAAGTACTTAGCAATATGTACTTGTGTACTAAAGCCTTTATTGTACTAGATTACAGACTCGAAAATTCTTTGGTAAAAATCAAGTTCTTCATCTTTTAAAAATAAAATGATATACAGTACAAAGTCCGTAATCCGGATGTCCATTATCCTCAAAACCACAAACTTTTTTTTTTTTGTATGCTTAGGCATGCGCGTTTAATGTATAACGGACGGTATAAGCTAGGCTAAAACTATCTTTACTGATTCTAAGGCATTTCAGTTAATGTTGCAAATTGCGCTGTTCCTTAATCTTCTAATTGGATCCGGCTTATTTTTTTTTTCAGACTGTTAGAGCAATTTTCTAAAAATTAAGCTTTAACTTTCGATTAAGTCAAAAAGAGTTGCCAGTTCTGGAGCTGCCAAAGGACCTACAAAGCAAAAGCATGTTTCGATGTTCATCAAACAAAAAGTGGATTTTGTAAAGAAATATGGGGAAGCGGTAATAAATGAAGATGACATAACAAAAGTTTTTCATTGCGACGACAATGCCCCAATCAATTAACGGACGGCAAAATCTGTAGTGTGGTTCTAGATCCAGAAAATACTGCTTCTGATAGGGAAGAAAGTGACAGAGAGGTTATTGAAAACGAAAAAATTTCGATTGACAAGTTAGTCGGTATTCTCGACTCAGCAATTACAGGACTTGAACTGTTGAACTCTGTAACTGAACAAGAAATTATGTCTGTTTATAGAATTAAAGAGAAAGTATTAGCACAAAAAACGAAGAAACTTAAACAGCTTACATTGAAAGAAATGTGTAATAAAGTAAGCAAATAAATATTAAGCTTTTTTTGTGTGTAAATTTTGATACCCTTTTTAATTGCTCTTTATTGCATAAATTACAATTTCATATTTTTAATTGTATAATTTCTGCATGCCATCTTACCAAATTTAAATTGATGATCTATAATCCGGAAAAACCCTTAATCCGGAATCGACGAAGTCCCGACAAGTCCGAATTACGGACTTTGTACTGTATAACGTTCTGTATTGCTGCATAATAGTAGTTCACACACGTGCTAACAAATATCAAGATTCAAGTAGTATCATTTATTGTATTAGTAAACTGCTCAATAGAATTATATGAATTTTTTTAATCTGCAAGCATATAAAATATTTAATTAAATGTAAATTTTATAAAAAAAAAAAAAAAAGGCTGTTATAAAACTAGAAAATAATTTTTTTCAAGATTCCATGATGAAAGAATTTTTTTTTTTTTTTTTTTGTTGTTGTTGTTGTTGTTTTTAAAAATTGTATTATATTTTTAATTTCTTTTATTTCTTTTGTTTGTTTCAGATATCCATGTAGTAAGAAACAGGTTTTCATTGAAAACTTCTTCAACAATTTACTAACTTTAATAATACATACTTTAATAACTTTAATAATATATGCTACTAATGAGGGCATGAAGTTATGAATGCTTATTAAATCCTCACATTTTTACTAGTAAGTTATAAAGGATAAGTACTTATTGTAATATTTAATTATTTTAATGCGCAAAGAAGATTTTTCTTAAATAAAAAAAAATTAACTCAAAATATTGGAAATTATTTAAGTAGAAAATACTGAGGAAGTTTTCAATCTTATGGGTGACTGAACGTTGCTCAAATTAATATTTTGAAATTATAGTGCTTTATCAATATAAATGTTTTTTGTTACATGATAATGTTTGTGATTATTTCAGCCTCCTAAAAAGGAATATACAAATTATAAAGTTCTCATGCAAGAAAAATTGGAAGAAAAGGAAAGGAAAAAGGTAATTTTGTTTTTCCCAATATTGCCAATCAACCTAATCAAATAATAATTAATTCCATTGTAATAATTTTTAACACTGTTCTGCATTTTTATTTATTTATATTTTACTTTTTGCTGTCTTTCATAACAAGAACTTTTTTATTTTCCATTTATTGGATTATGCCATTATTAATCATATAACATAAATCAGAAATAGTTGCTTAATTGTTATTCTTTCTTCTCTTCATATTTGTTTGTATTCTTGCTATATTGTACTTTTATTATTATTATTATTATTATTATTATTTTAGACCTGAGCATTTTTTTAATTGAATAGTAGTTCAAGATCATTTGGGATTTTAACTGATTTTAATGCTAATGTACTGGATAGTTATTATTGTTAATGTATTCTGCAAACTATTTGGTGAGAGAATTTAACTATTGAATGCAACTAATTTTACCTCAAATTCAGTTCATAATATAATATGAATATATCCTTTGAAGCCTCTTTATTTGCTTTTCCTTGCAAATAAAAATTACAGATGGGACATTTGAATTCTGAAATCTCATGAATCTTGAGAGAGAGTTGAGATTCAAAAAGTCTAAACTTTGGCTTTTTTAGTTATTTAAATCTTTTGAATGCTAACCTGAAAAAAATTAATATTTTAATTTGGAATTTGGAACAGATTTGTTTTATCAGCATTCAATAAAAGTATTCGTTAAAAAAAGTGATTGTTGCAATTTCAGTGCCCTTTGATTACCAATATTTTTTATGGTTGCCCTGAGTATCATACTCTTAATTATCTGGAAATAATGTTCATGTTTAGTGTATATATCTTTTAACTCTACAAATAATACTACCCTTTTTTGAAAAGATTGTGATTTATCAAAAAAATATTGCAACTGTTTTCAAATATTTAATGTCAAATTATGTTTAGAAAACAAATCTCAATGTTCAAGAGTTCAAAAGTAAAAACTTGATTATCTGTGATGCTCAGAAATGCCAATGCATGAAAATTCAAGGTGGCCAAATACCTGAAAACTCCAGATGTATAAAAAATGCAATTCAAGCTAGAAAAACTAGATGAATGGTATATAAAATTTCCGGTCTAAAATTATAAAACTTAAGTTACTTTGTTATCAAAAGCACGCATAGCATTTTGAAGAAAAGTGCATTCTAGACATAGAAGCTGGCATATTTTCACAGGGCTTAAATATATTGTTTTAAAATGTCCAGCTGCAGTAAGATAGCTTCCCCGCAAGGCAGGTTTAGGGTTGCCAGATTTGCCGACGAAATCGGTGATAGGCCATAGACAGATGGAGAACATTCAAGAATGAATTCTTACTGGTTTGGCACAGAATGTTTTTGAAGGCAGGCCAAAAGCTATGTAAACATTGCTTGTACGCGGAGTAGCAGTCTAGTGGCAAGGTGTCTCGTCAGTTTATCGCAAGTTTTAGCATGGAGTCTTCAGAGTACATTGAGTTTTGGGAACGATCGAACTGAGTCAGGAGTCGGAAGCTCTAGTGCTTTCCCGTGAAGCTGTCTTCACCATTATAGCCTGAAAGCTGTGTTGCTGTTTGTTTTAGTGTGTTTATCGTAGTTTTTTTTTATGACTGTAAACGTGTTTTAGGAGCTGTCCTGAGTAATACTGGCTAATAAATTGTGTTTTCATTCTTCATCAAGTGTTATTAATTGCTCCAAATCTACGAACCCATAGAAACTCAACAATATTAATTAGTAAAGCCTCTAAACCAGTAATAAAATCCTTTTGACCCTGAAAGTTGGTGAAGATTCCTTAAAACTTGGGCCAGCTGTGCTATCAGAGGCTTGAAGGGGGGGACACACAACCCTTTATTTAGTTAGATAATACAGTCAAAAGTCGTTAATCCGGACTCGTCGGTACTTCGGCGATTCCGGATTATAGATCATCAGTTTAAATCTGGTAAGATAGCATGCAGAAATTACTAAATTAAAAATATGAAACCGTAATTTATGAAATAAAGAACAATTATGATCTAAAGGGTATCAAAATTTACAAAAAGAAAAAGCTTAATATTTATTTGTTTACTTTATTAAACATTTCCTTCAATGTAAGTTGCTTCGTTTCATGTGATAATACTTTCTCTTTAATTCTATTAAACAGACATAATTTCTTGTTTAGTTACAAAGTTCCGCTGTTCAAATCCTATAATTGCTGTGTTAAGAATACCGACTAATTTGTCAATCGAAATGTTTTCGTTTTCAATAACCTCTGGGTCACTTTCTGCACTATCGGAAGCGAATTATAATGATGAGGAACTTGATTTAAATCATATCAAAGACGGAGTACATCGAGATGAAATACTACACTTAGTAAGGAATTATAAACCAAATAAATTAAAAACATCTGCCCTGAAGATAAGGATAGTGCTAACAGATCAACTTCCAATCCACGGCGTGAAATTGATAAACAGATTTCGGATTTCAAAACATACTTTCGCTTTGTAGATACAAATTACATATAAGTAAATATATATCGGAAATTCTATTTGACATAATCAAAAGTTCAAGCTTACTTTTATGAAATTGCTCTAACAGTCTGCAAAAAATAATAAGCCGGATCCAATTTGAAGATTAAGGAACAACGCTATCTGCAACATTAACTGAATTAGATAATTTTAGCTTAGCTTATTACTCCGTTACACATTAAACGCGCATGCGCACAAACATATTCGCAGCCGTAAAGGTCTTGCGCGCTCTTGTAAACGCCTGTGTGCATGCGTGGATGCGACGCATGCACAGAAAGTTTGTAGCTTTGAGGTCCGGATTATAGATCATTCCGGATTATGGGTGTCCGAATTAATGACTTTTGACTGTAATCAATAAATAGAAATTATGGATATATCATTTAAAAAACTTTAATTGTTTATCATAATTTTTCATATTCCATTGCCATTATTTATCCATTTTAAAATAAAGTAACATATCATGCCCATCTACACTTCATGCTAGGAAGTGTAAGAATTCTTTATCATTGTGTCAAACTTAAATTCCTCAAATAGACAAAAATGAACAAAACCATACATTTTGGAAGGTTTAATCCTGTAGCTTTGAATGTGCATTCTCTTTCATAAAAAGAAAATCTTGAATTTTAATTACTTTTTTCAAAATTCAAAGAAAAATAAATAAATGCAATTAACCTTCTTATCGCATATCCAGCAATTTCCACAGGCAATGTAGAAGTAGCAAAATTTGTGCAACCTGCGATTTCCACAGGGATGCATTTTTTCCATCTATTTAACTGTGCAACCCACTCTTCCTGTTCATTGTTTCCTTTTGGTTTTTCTGTGACATTTAATTGTTTATTCAGATCTGGAGTTACCAGATGGTTTTAGTTGTCCATATTTCTGCAAAATATTCAAACATGTTTTGCTCCATTCTCTGCGCTCTTTTCAAAGCTCCAAGATGTCTGTAGTTCAACTCTCAATCCCATGAGACTAGTGCTTGACATTTTGCCAGCCATGTACCCCCAAATCTCATCAAGAATGAACCTAGTAGGCAGTGTGCTATTTGTTGCTTTATAAAAAAAAATAATAACTAAAACTGCCCAAAAATTTAAAAAGAAATGCAAATTTGGTGCAAATATTGCAAAGTAGGATTTTGACTCAAGCCTTGTTTCATACTAAACTTACAAGTTAATCATAGTAAACTTCATTTCTAATAAATTTTTGTAAGTATTTTGCATATTTTCATTAGTATATATATATATATTATGTTTTACCTTTGTAATTCATAAAATAAATCAGAATTTGACCAAGATTAATTTTCAAAATTTTGCTTTTATATGATTGTTCTTCAATTTCAGTTTTCTGACAACCTTTTTCTATGACCTCTAATTCTATATTGGGGAGGGAAAAAAAAACTCTTATGCAAAAAATTTTTGTATATTTTAATTCTCAAATATATGTAAATTTAAAATACGTAATTAAAAAAATATGCAATTGTTGAACCTGTTTTGATTTAAAAAATTATGCAGCGAGAGGATTAATCTTATATCCATCTCTGCAAAAACTGAACTAGCTAATCCAGAATTTAATTGAGTACATAATAGCATTATGCAGTTGATATGATTATTTTTGGTGACACATCTAGCAATACTTTTTAACTGTAGAAAATGGTTTCAAGGGAAATGAATGTCTAGTTCCAAGAACAAATTTTTAGAATAATATGATGTTTGAATGGTTGGAAAAGGGTTAACAATATATTCTGAAAGAGAACTGTGAGATTGTATTCACATGTTAGATTTTATAAGTAAGATTTGAGTAGTAGTCTTATATATGTATTTTATAATGCCTTTATGTAATTTTTAATCTAAAAATATTTAAAATATTACAGTTAGTTGAATGTCAGACTTTTACTGTCAGTACTTCATTTATTAAATTTCATTTATTGTTGTTGTCTTGTCCATATTACATGGAACTATGTTTGCCAGAGCCTATTCTGAAGCCAGGTTGGACATTTTTTCTCATGCCCAGTTTTGAGGAAGAGCACCCCCAGGGAGAATCCGGGGGTCTCCCATCCCTCTCCACTCCAACCAATCCACACAAGAAGACTTTCAGCTCGACGCATATTTAGAGTGCCACTATGCTACACCATACTGAAGACATGGATGTTTACAAACATCCATATCTTCGGGATTCGAACCCGGGCCCTTTGGTACCATAGTAGGCTCCCATAACCACTATACCTTCTGGACGACATTAAATTTCATTTGTATTGTATTAATAACTGTAAGCATATTTGGAAAACTATATTCCTAAATTTGTTTTTCTCCAAATGCAGATTTTAGGGTTTTTTTTTTTTTTTTTTTTTTTTTTTAATTTATAATTTTTAATATTAAGCAAATGTTTTCTGCACTACAGTACAAAGTCTGAGATCCAGACTCCTCGGGACTTTAGTGATTCTGGATTTCGTATTTTTCTGGAAAATAGATCATCAGTTTAAAACTTGTAGGATGGCATGTAGAAATTTTAAAATTAAAA